GTCCGCCTGTCATCGTAGGTCGTACATCAACCATCATCGGCGGACCGTGTTATTGTATCGATTGCTATTTATCGGCGGCATATTTGGGTACGGCATTGAAGGAAGTGGTGGCCCAGGTGGAGGTGGATTGTACATAGTGTTTGGCGGTTGTGGTGGAGCTGCCATACTTGGTTGTTCAATGTAAGCGTTTTGGCGTGTTTGATTTTGCCGATTTTGATGTTCTGTCAATGTCAATGTCGTCTGCATTTGCATGGTCGACGACAGAAGCACGCACGATCTGAACATTGAAAACGACGTGGACCTCAATGTGGACCTCGACCTTGATCTAGTTCTACTCCTGCGCCTTCGTTCGACATTTTCGCGAGTTCTTCGGTCGCGTGAGCGTCCTCGATCTCTATTACGACGGCCACGATCTGCAATGTATCAAAATAAGGATGTGTAAATTATCGATTCAATAATAACCCTCCGCATTTATATGGGATAAATGAGTTTTTGATGTCTTATATATTATATAAGAAAGTTCGACAGGCCTATTTTTATTATTATGGACCAAATTATCAGTTCTGCTTTAATTTTTTTGTGAGAACAAATTAAAGTTATCTAAAAAATTATTAATCTGTTAAATATTGATTGTTTACATTTTTATTTTATATTTGCAATATTGTATTTATTTATTTTTATAAATTGATTGTTGTATTTATATTACGTTTAAATATTAGTTTATTTTATGGTGCTTTGACAAAGTATACCAGACTGCAAAAAAAACATTTCATTTGAAACTAAACTTGGAGTCATTTAAAAAAAATAGTAAAAAGACACATTTGATACGTTTTTTATATTGGTGAATGAACCCAAGATTACCTTTGTAATTAAACCTATCAATAATTAAAAAATAAAATTAACTATATTTTCCTATTTTAATTTCACATTATTTTTTTAAATGTTTTTAACAGTCTGGTGATATTTGCATCCACATCTTCAAAATCACTTTGCAAGGTTTTAATAATGCTCAACAATTTTTTAAACAACAATAACGTGCACAAATTGTTATAATATAATTCTTAACTCAAAGCATAGTTTAAATTAATTTTAATTCATTGAAGTATTATTTGTATGTAAAATAATTTCTTTCGTCTGTATATATATTTATAATTGAATGATTGTGTGGAAAATTATGAATTGTATCCATTAATTTGTAGTCTCGATAACGGGATAAAGCATTTTCAATATAACTAATAATATATAACTGATAACTCGAGGTTTGTATATGTAATGGATAAATAAAATTAAATTAATGTTATTAGTAATCTTGTTAATTAATCTCGAGGCAGGTTAAGTTATTTACTCATTATGAAAATTTGATTTTCAAACTAGTAGTTTAGTAATAGGAATGCCGATATATTTTTTAAATAAATTATGTTATAAAAATCATCTAAATTTGTTTAATTAAAATTAAATTATTTATAAGTAAATAAATTTAAATTGTATTTTCCAAAGTCGATGCTCACAATTTAAGCTTGTGCTCTTAGCTCTGTATCTCCGAAACCGCTGGGCCTACCTTTGCCTTTAACTATTTTTTTTGAAATTGAATTCGAAATGAAATGACGATTGCTAATGTTCAGGAGATAAATTGATTTATCTATAATTTACATTTGATTTGCTCAGATATAACAAACAAGATAGCAAAAATAATGAAAGTTAGAGTATTTGTAGTAATATATTTGAAAACGTTTAAAATTTCTCGAATATTTCATTACGGTACGGGAAGTTCCAGCAATTTGCCTTAAGGTACGATGCCATACACCACTCGTTTCTATGTGTGGGCTTTAAATATAATTCTATTTCTTTCTTAAAGGTTCCAAAGCTCCTTATATACTTCAGAAATAAATAAATTTAACTTTGCTATTCAGTTTATATATTTCTATAAATATGAGATAAGATCCTTCATTCTAACTTTATTTAATTAATTTAATTAATATTTGTTTATTTAATCTTTGATGAAGCGTCGTGGCAAAGATCGTTATCGCGTTGACTTTGTATGATGTATACTTCAGAGATAAATAATCTTAACTTTGCAATTCAGTTTATATATATTTTATGAATATGAGATAAGATCCTTCATTCTAACTTTACTTAATTAATTTATTTAATATTACTTTGTTTATTTAATCTTCGATGAAGCGTCGTGGCGAAGATCGTTAACGCGTGATATACATAGTATTTTATGCAACTTTATCCCATTCCTTTGAAATCATTTATTATTATAAGATTACGATTGAACATGTGCATATCAAAAATGAAATAATAAATTATTTAATGAATAAATATTTTTATTTATTTGATTTCAGACAGAATTATTTATCCAGAACCATATAAATTATTCCACTTCACATATTGGTCTAAGTCCATATCTGATACACTAGCTCGAACTCGTTTCAAAGCAGTCTCAAAATCTTGGAATGTTATTGGACGAAGCTGTAAAAAAAACTAGGTTAAGTAACATTTTCCTCAAGGCAAGTTGCATCAAGTATTAGCAATTTTATTACTAATGTTTTAATCTAGCGGAATTAAAATGAAGACTCTTATATCATATTTTTAAAAATCACGTAAAGTGAATTGCAAAGTAAAGTCAAGTGGATAAGTGAATTAAAATTCAAGTCTTGCCTTTGCCAAAACCTGGACATTTCTCTACACTATCAATACAATTTTTTCTAAAGTATGCCAAAACCTTCAAAACGTAAAGATACTCAAAAGTTTCATAATTTCTTCATATTTTTCTGATTAAATATCCTTCCTGACTGTAAATAGTATGCATATTGGTAGTGGCAAACAAAATTTATATTTTGAATTTCATTATTCTTACCTCTGTTATTGTAAAATCATAAAAAAAAAATGATGAGAATATGCAAGAAATATGAATTACAGCAAATGTCTAACCTAAAAATGCACGTTTTACATCAAAACAAATATTAGTTGACAGCAAATTCAACTCATAAATGTGTCATCCGCCATATTTGTTGGGTTGGGTTGGGTTCACTTAAAATCCGCTAGAGGAGAGCTTGCTTTTTTTTTCAAAAATACCACTAATTTTATATTTTGTTAAATGCTATAAATATTCTATTATAACTATATAATATTACCATCATTTAATGATAAAGCTGCAAATTTACAGTTTTTCAATTTGAATCTATGAATCTACAGTTTTCTACAGATTTTTTCTGGCCTATCTACAGTTTTTCTCTATGGTGGACCTGGCAACACTGATCGTATGACATTAAAATTTCTAGTAAATTCAGAGCACGTTGTTCAGTTCTTCGGCCGGCGTCGTGAGAGGAACAACTGTCTCAAAAAACAATTTTATTCGGTCGAATTATTCTATTTAGTTTCGTTTAATTGAATTGCCATGTGCTTTTAAGAGGCTGCGAACCTGGGACATCATTGTACATAATTACCAAATTTTGGTAGGCTGTCATAAGGAAAAACTTAAGGTAAGGTAATCACTATTAATTTGTTCATATTGTTTGTAACTACTATTCTATTTTATTGATGATCGAATTACTTGTATATGCCTTTTTGAAAGGCATCGAATTACTTGTATGTGCACTTATTTCTGATTAATTCACCATAATATAGGTAATTTGTTTATTGCTATTATTTACTTTGACATATTTCTCGTACATTGCCGCCAATGAAATTGCATCTATAGAATATATTCTGAAATGTCACTCGTAAACAGTGACTTCGTTTTTCTATTTTACAGTTCATTTAAAAAGTACTGTACTGTTATAAATAAATGACAATGCTGATAAAATTAAATGTACTTTTTCATTCAGGTGCTTATTGTTTAAATCAAAAACAATTCTATATGAATTTTACAAAATAGTACTGCAGTTGAGTACAAACGCATAGCGCATCCAAATAGATTATTTTACTTTATATTTTACAAATGAATTATTAGACAATATAATAGAGAAAACTAGTGGGGTGTATGGCATCGTGCCTTAAAGCAAATTGCTGGAACTTCCCGCACCGTAACGAAATGTTCGAGAAATATTGAATGTTTTCAAATAGATTATTATAAATATTGCAACATTGTCCAATATATATAAGTTATATAAACTGAATTGTAAAGTTAAACATATTTGTTTAAAGTACATTAGAACTTTATCCAGAATTACGATTAAAATCTGTATTTTTTTCGATATACAAAAAAAAAATTGAAAAAAAAATTTTGAAACAATTTTTTTTTCAAATCAATTATTTTGTTAAAACAATCAGAAAGTTTTTTGAATCATTCAAATCGGACGCTTAGTTCTCTCAAAAACTGCCATTTTTGCACATTTAGCTCTGTATCTCCGAAATGGTTAGGCCTGCCTTTACCAAAAACTAATAATCACTTCTCTCTATTATTACGAATTGAATGTTTTTTAGATCATTCAAATCGGATGCTCTGTTCTCTCAAAAACGAGGTCGTCAATCCTCAATTATAAGACATTTCTATTCTACTTATCTTATTTCACCCGATCAAATCAACAGGTGGTTCCTCAGGAGGTGGTTTAAGTACATTATCCATTTCCAGCCTGGGATTGCAGTACTCTTGAGCACTTGGGCTATAAGTGCCCCTGGTGGCCCTTTTACTCCTGGCCATAATTAACAGTGTGCCCAACAAGGCAGCTTGACTTGCGCTCTATCTAAAAGACAATATTAAGAGCTAAAACTATGGAAAAGCTTTAAACTATGGAAAACTTTCAATTACGAGCCCCCCCCGGAAACTGAATCCGCCACTGCACCGAGCTTATATCCGTGCGTTGGTCGTGGAAGGTTGTGGAAGGTTCCTCCGAAATTTCTTCTGCCACCGTAATTGCCATCGTAATCGCCACCGCATCCATTGTAATACGGCTGAGGTGGTGGTCCCGCAGCTCTTGGAGGCTCATCAAGTAATGGCTGTCGAAACCGAAAAGCAGGAGGTCCGCCTGTCATCGTAGGTCGTACATCAACCATCATCGGCGGACCGTGTTATTGTATCGATTGCTATTTATCGGCGGCATATTTGGGTACGGCATTGAAGGAAGTGGTGGCCCAGGTGGAGGTGGATTGTACATAGTGTTTGGCGGTGTTGGTGGAGCTGCCATACTTGGTTGTTCAATGTAAGCGTTTTGGCGTGTTTGATTTTGCCGATTTTGATGTTCTGTCAATGTCAATGTCGTCTGCATTTGCATGGTCGACGACAGAAGCACGCACGATCTGAACATTGAAAACGACGTGGACCTCAATGTGGACCTCGACCTTGATCTAGTTCTACTCCTGCGCCTTCGTTCGACATTTTCGCGAGTTCTTCGGTCGCGTGAGCGTCCTCGATCTCTATTACGACGGCCACGATCTGCAATGTATCAAAATAAGGATGTGTAAATTATCGATTCAATAATAACCCTCCGCATTTATATGGGATAAATGAGTTTTTGATGTCTTATATATTATATAAGAAAGTTCGACAGGCCTATTTTTATTATTATGGACCAAATTATCAGTTCTGCTTTAATTTTTTTGTGAGAACAAATTAAAGTTATCTAAAAAATTATTAATCTGTTAAATATTGATTGTTTACATTTTTATTTTATATTTGCAATATTGTATTTATTTATTTTTATAAAATTGATTGTTGTATTTATATTACGTTTAAATATTAGTTTATTTTATGGTGCTTTGACAAAGTATACCAGACTGCAAAAAAAACATTTCATTTGAAACTAAACTTGGAGTCATTTAAAAAAAATAGTAAAAAGACACATTTGATACGTTTTTTATATTGGTGAATGAACCCAAGATTACCTTTGTAATTAAACCTATCAATAATTAAAAAATAAAATTAACTATATTTTCCTATTTTAATTTCACATTATTTTTTTAAATGTTTTTAACAGTCTGGTGATATTTGCATCCACATCTTCAAAATCACTTTGCAAGGTTTTAATAATGCTCAACAATTTTTTAAACAACAATAACGTGCACAAATTGTTATAATATAATTCTTAACTCAAAGCATAGTTTAAATTAATTTTAATTCATTGAAGTATTATTTGTATGTAAAATAATTTCTTTCGTCTGTATATATATTTATAATTGAATGATTGTGTGGAAAATTATGAATTGTATCCATTAATTTGTAGTCTCGATAACGGGATAAAGCATTTTCAATATAACTAATAATATATAACTGATAACTCGAGGTTTGTATATGTAATGGATAAATAAAATTAAATTAATGTTATTAGTAATCTTGTTAATTAATCTCGAGGCAGGTTAAGTTATTTACTCATTATGAAAATTTGATTTTCAAACTAGTAGTTTAGTAATAGGAATGCCGATATATTTTTTAAATAAATTATGTTATAAAAATCATCTAAATTTGTTTAATTAAAATTAAATTATTTATAAGTAAATAAATTTAAATTGTATTTTCCAAAGTCGATGCTCACAATTTAAGCTTGTGCTCTTAGCTCTGTATCTCCGAAACCGCTGGGCCTACCTTTGCCTTTAACTATTTTTTTTGAAATTGAATTCGAAATGAAATGACGATTGCTAATGTTCAGGAGATAAATTGATTTATCTATAATTTACATTTGATTTGCTCAGATATAACAAACAAGATAGCAAAAATAATGAAAGTTAGAGTATTTGTAGTAATATATTTGAAAACGTTTAAAATTTCTCGAATATTTCATTACGGTACGGGAAGTTCCAGCAATTTGCCTTAAGGTACGATGCCATACACCACTCGTTTCTATGTGTGGGCTTTAAATATAATTCTATTTCTTTCTTAAAGGTTCCAAAGCTCCTTATATACTTCAGAAATAAATAAATTTAACTTTGCTATTCAGTTTATATATTTCTATAAATATGAGATAAGATCCTTCATTCTAACTTTATTTAATTAATTTAATTAATATTTGTTTATTTAATCTTTGATGAAGCGTCGTGGCAAAGATCGTTATCGCGTTGACTTTGTATGATGTATACTTCAGAGATAAATAATCTTAACTTTGCAATTCAGTTTATATATATTTTATGAATATGAGATAAGATCCTTCATTCTAACTTTACTTAATTAATTTATTTAATATTACTTTGTTTATTTAATCTTCGATGAAGCGTCGTGGCGAAGATCGTTAACGCGTTGACTTTGTATGGATAGAGTCGCGCGTTCGAATCCCCGCTCTGGAAATCTGAAATCAGGTATTTTCAATTGTAACTATAGATAAAAAATGTTTTAAATTGAAAATAAACCCATCCCGGGGGGTTCCACTGCGCTGTGAAATGTAAATGGAAAAAGCTCTTTGTCAGCCAATTTGTAAGCTCTTATATTTTATCTATAAAATACGAATAAATAATAGTATATTTGAAAACATTTAAAATTCTTCGAACATTTCGCGACGGTACGGGAAGTTCCAGCAATTTTCCTTAAACGATGTCAGGCTGAAGATTCCTTTATCCTGAAATTTAATTTGTAGTCTATGATTTTTATGTCTTATATATGTTTTATAGCTTTATTTTTATGCAATAGGAAATGAATGCAACTGAGAGCAAAGGTCTTGCAGCAAATTTAATAAAACCAGAAGTGTTGGTGACACATTTTGCACATTTTAATAAACAGTAAAAAAACTAAAAAAAATTGCTGCCTTGGACACAGAGTTTAGTATTTTTAGTATTTTTTATATAATATGTATGATTGTTGTGGCGAAGGTCGTTAACGCGTTGCCTTCGTGTGGATGGGGTCGCGCGTTCGAATCCCCGCTCTGACAACCGGAAAGCGCGATGTGTATTTTTAATTGAATGATGTTTGTAATAGGTTTTGTAATAGGCATTTTACTTTAATAAATATGTTATTATAGTTCATACATAATTAATAGACTATGTTACTAGTGGTTAAAAAACAAATATTAGTAAAAAAGATTCAGACTTATTAGAATAACAATAAATAAATAAATGTTATTAAAAAAAAAAAACACAGTAGAAAAAGTCGATTATTTTTTAAAAAATAATATAGTAAAAATTTACGATAAGATTTTGAAAATGTTTTTTTACGTGTTAATTTTTTTCTTTTTATTCATATATATATACAATATATATATATATATATATATATATATATATATATATATATATACATACATTATTTTCATATCTCAGACAGACAGAAGTTCCTAGTATGAGAGATTATGAAAACAGTTTACATAATTTATATATACATTTCATTTAAGTATTACATTAATATAATATCTACTTATTATAATTAAAACATCTTTATATAACTCTTCAGTCTTCTTTGTCTTCAATTTCCTTATAATATTTCTTTATTTTTCTTTTAATTTTAATTTTCTTTTAATTAACTTTATAATCTAATTTTCTACGTTTGCTGAAGTAACAGATCGTATCATCATATATAAAACTTTTTGTAGAATTCTTTGATTTCAAAAATGATTATTTGAGGAATCTTTGAAAAGTTAAGGGATCAGATGATTCGTAGAACAAATAATTGACTCTGGAAAAGCTCTTCCCTCAATCGTCATTGTCCAATTTGTAAGCTCTTATATTTTATCTATAAAATACGAATAATTAAAGTTACTATATTTATAATAATATATTTGAAAACATTTAATTTTAAATAAATTTTGAAATTTATTTTTTAGTCTATGATTTTTATGTCTTATATTTTTTATAGCTTTATTTTTATGTAACAGGAAATGAAAGCAGTGTTTTATACTGCTCCTGAGAGGAGGCTCCTGCAGTAGATTTAATAAAACCAGAAGTATTGGTGTAGAAATTTTGCTGCCTTGCACACAGATTTGAAATCATTTTTACTAGTGAGTATTTTTTATATAATATAATATATCGTTGCAACTCAGGATTATATTATATATATAACTTTGTTACGAAGATGTCGAAGAGCCCACATTGCACACAATATATTCTAACCTTTAAAAATAATTTACACAAAATAAGAGAAATATAAGAGGAAGGGAAATATCTGTTACACCTAGATAGGTGATGATTCATTATCTATATTTATATCTATTTTTAAAGTTGAAATTTAATGCAGATATTTGTCTAACAGCTAATTCGGTCACTTGTTTTAAAAGGAACATTTGCAATATCGCTACATTTGACTCATAATTGTGCATTGTAGGTCCAGATTATAGTTTTATAAATCAAAAGCTAAATCATCATTTGTAGAGATTGCGAGAACTGAAAGAATAACAAAGATTTTGTGTATATTCATCGCAGTCATAATTATACTTGCAACAAACAAACTATAGTTATGTATAAAAATAATTAAAATTAACTTGTAAATTAAAATGTAAATAAGTTCACAGTAAATAAATTAAATAATTAATAAAATAGCTAATAGTTAATTAAATTATATTAAATCTGTAAAATATTGACTTGAGCCTTATTATAATATTATTATACTGATGGCTTGTAAAATTAATAAATAAATAAATAAATTTATAATAGTTATATGCTCTTAGAGAACTGAAACAATAATAAAGAATTTCCGTTTATATATTTTTCGCAGTCATAATAATTATATTTACAACACAATAAGCTGACGATTCATTTCATATTTAATGCATATATATAAACAAACAATTAGAAAACTTTACAAATATCAGATAACCTGTTATTCAATTGGGGGGACTTGCAGTCCCAGCAGGTGTAACAGCTAATTCGGTTTTGGTCACTTGTTTTAGAAAGAACCTTTGCAGAATTGTTATATCCGTAGGATCTGAATTCTACGATATACAAATAACCTCACAAATAGATATCTACGGTAAGTTCAATGGCTGTAAAGAATTTGTGTGTATATACTCATCCAGGTGATAATTTATAATAATTATACATTTACAACACAATAAGCTTATGATTTAATTTAAGTTTTGCATAAGAATATATATATATATATATATATATATATATATATATATTATATATATAAATAAACTATCTCACATGACCTCACTAATAGATGTCCATGTCCCTACAGATCCCTCGTTGAATTGTGGGAACTTGCAGATCTTCTTGTAACAACTAATTCGGTTTGGACACTTATTTTACAATGAAGCCTTTTCTGTATTGCTATATTTGACTCATAATTGGATACCGAAGGACCAGAATTCTTCGGTAAGTTCAATGGCTGTAAAGAATTTGTGTGTATATACCCATCCATATGATAATTTATCATAATTATATGTCCACAACACAATAAGCTAAGAATTTGATACAAATTTTGCATAAGAATGTATTTATATATAAACAAACTACCACATATAACCTCACTAATAGATGTCCATGTCCTTACAGATCTCTCGTTGAATTGTGGAG